ATCCCAACTTTTTAAACGCATCCAGAGATGGTGACTCCACCTAAACCTCCCCAGGAAAAAACATTCCAATATTTTATCACCTTTTCTGTAAAAAAACTTTTTCCTAATATCCAATTAATATCTAATTAATATTAGTTATAATATTTAATAATAATTTCCATTATTCCAGACCGGTTTTCAAGCACTGATGTTTCTGTTCAATGATTAACCTGAGGGTAAATTCCCTTTTCTGAGAATTCGGATGAACAAAGGAATAATAGGAAGGATTAAAAGCTTTGGAGCCATTTCCGTCTTGTTTTTGATTAATTGCTGGTTTATGTTCCTTTAAATAAAGGCAAAATCTCTCCAAACTAAACTAAAAACTAATTCAAGAAAGGAACAACAAAATAAATTCCAAGGAAATTACAACCAACAATTCCCCTTATAAAGGACCAAAATCCCAGTTATAAGTCAGATACAGGCATGAGCAGATTGTTTAATTCGTTCAATTAAGGCAGATCGTTTAATGTTAATTTAAAGAAATTAACATTAAATTATCATTAACAACCTCACTTGAAACCACCCACAAATAACAGGAATTTCCGTTGGGGCAAAAATCCCCTTCATCCTGGAATCATTCTCTGGGGAATATCAATAAAAAGCCCCCAGCTCAGTATTCTCCCAAAAATCCTCACCCTGGACATTTCTACTCCAGCCAGATCCAGAATATCCATGTTGAATTCCATGTGGATTAGGGAGTTGAGGAATTTTTGTGTTCCCTGGACATGGACCTTTTCCACATCTGCGAGGGAACAGACTCCAGGAACCCCTGCACTAAATCCTAAAGAAGCTTGTAAAACAGACTTTAAATCTTTTAAAAGGGATTTTTTTTAAAAAAAAAGCTTTGAAAAGGGACTTTGCTCACAAAAGACTTTTTTTTTTCCCCCTCAGCTGCAACATTCCAGCTGATCTCAACAGCCTGGGTCTGGAAATTCCAAAGGTTCTGTTTGTGGCACACCTTGATCCAAAGGGCAGCAGGAAAAGGTTTCAATTCCTCAGCACTTGCACAGGGCAGCTCCTTTTCCAGCCTGGTTTTCCCACAGCTCAGAAAACCTCGGGAATGGGGGTGGATCAGAGTCAAAATCGGGAATGCATAGCACAGAGACCAGGTGGGAATCCATGGATATCAAAAAACTGTGGGATTTACGTCCTTAATGTCCCAACATTTCCCAGGTTTGGTTATTCCTACACCAGTTCTGTTTCTGGATTAGGGAGTCAGGTTGGGCACAAAGCCCAAAATAATTGGATTTACCAGATTCCCACGCTTCAGGGCTAATGAATAAGGCAAAATTCTGGGATTTGTGGTGATTCTAGGTAGGATCAAACACAGCCAGGACCAAAAAACAATGAAGTTTCCAGGGAATGTGGGATTGGGTTTCCTTGGATAAACGTGGTGGTTTTATCACCTCCTGGATGGATCTCCTGGAATTCCACAGACTCTCCCAATCCAAGGAAGGTTTCTCCTGAAGATTTTTGTCCCTCTCCACCCCAGGGACCATCCTATAAATCCACGGGATTCATGGAATGCTGAGTTCTGGCTCTGGGTAGAAGATGAAAACCAGCTGTTTTCTGGTTATTCTGGGGTTTTTCTTTAAAAATGTTCCAAATATATTCCAGACATATTTCAGAAATTTTCTGGGAAAACTGTGCCTCGTCCCCACCACTCTCACGGGGAGGAATTTCTTCCAGGTGTGGAACATTTTCCCCCTTTTTTCACCCCTTTTTTCCCCCCATTCCCCCCCGCTTCCCCCTTTTTTCCTCCCTTTTTTCGAGATAAATCAATGAATTTTTATTGCTTTCATTTTTATTATTTTTGTTTCATTGCATTTTATTGCATTGTATTTGATTACTTTTTAAAATTTATATCATTATTTAATTATTCAATAAATTCCCAACAATTTTCCACGACAAAAGAAGAAGGAAAAAAACACCAGGAAAAAATTTCCCCCTCCTCCCCCAAAAACTCCCCCCCGCCCCCCAAAAAAAGGAATAGTCCCAAAACTAATTGGAATAATCCCAAAACTAATTGGAATTTCCATAACAAAAAGGAAGAAAACCAGGATAACCCTGTCCCAAAAAACACCCAACACCATTCCCAGGGAAAAAGAAATCCCAAACCGAGAATGGCTTTATCCCACCTCTGGAATTTTGCTTTTTTCCTGGAATTTTTGGTCTGTGAAACCCTTTTTCCCACTAAACCCTGGTGGAGCAGGGAAGGGTTTCCCGCAGGAGGATGAGGAGGAACATCCTGGCCTCTCCCAGCTCCAGGCGATGTCCGGGAAGCAGGACGGGATTTTCCAGATGTTTTCCCAAGCTCCAACCCCCTCCGGAAAACGCCAATCTCGGTTTCCAGGAACCATAAATCCAAGGACAAAGGTTGATCCCAACCCCATCCCGGGGGAGCCGCCGGGTCCTTCCCGCTCAGGTACGGAATTCCCCACTGGAAAAAAAAAAATCCTTGAATTAACTGGGATTAATTAATTGAACTGGGATAAATCCGTTCAGCAGGAATTAATTAATTGTTTTTGTGGATGGGGAGGAACACAGGGCATTACTGCCCTTTTCCCATGGGAATTGCTCTCCCACGGGATTTATCTGTGATTTGGGATGTGGAGGAAAACACAGGAAATCCCAGGAAATTGGGATTGAATCCCAATTAAATTAAATCCCAATTAAATCCCAGCTCGCTGCTCAGTTGGATCATTTATCCTCACCCAGAGCAGGAAATCCTGGGAGCCAGAGCCAGAAAATCACGGAATTCCCTTTAAAACAGCGGGGACAAAATCCTGCTGCTCCTGGGAATTTGTCTTCTTAGAATTTTTTGCCATAGAAAATGATTGGATTTGGTGATTGGAAAGGTTTTTTCCAAGTGGAGCCATTCTGTGATTCTACAGAAAGTTGGGGTTAATATAAAATTATAATATCAAAATATGATCTTGAAATATAAATTTAAATTGTTATAATAATGATCATACAAGCTATTTAATATAATTCTATTAAAATAAATATATATATTATTATATATGTTATATAGAATAGAATATTTACATGTATATAAATATAATAATTACATTGTGTATTATTACACTATAAATCAACTGTAATTATTATTAATTACTAAATTGTAGCCATTTTTGTGTATATTATTTATTGCATAAATAAATATTGTCTCATAATAAAAAATTAATATATTCTTTTCATACATAATAATAATTCTATTAAAATAATAATGTATTTCTGATTTATTCCTTTGCATATGGTATATATTAAAATCATTAAATACGATGACAAAATATAATGTTAAATCACATAAAAATAAAATCTCCAAATGTGTTAAAATATAATATCAAATATAATCCCAAAATACAGTATCAGAATATAATGCTAAATACAATATAAAAATATAGACCTGAAATATAATATTAAAAATATATTAGAATATTGCATTGGAATATAATATTAAAGTATAATATCAAAATAGTATCAGAAGAAAATGCCAAAATAATACAAAAAGCTTATAGAAAATCTAATAGCAGAATGTAAGATCAAAATTAATTACTGAAAATAGTATTAAAATATATTGAAATATAACATTAAAATTTAATATCAAAATAAAATATTGAAATACAATACCCAATTATAATAGTATAATATTAAATTAATATTATTATATTTGTAATCAAATATAATGTATAATATAAATATTGTATCAAAATGCAATATCAAAATATCTAAGTATAATATCAAAATATAATAATGTAATTTTAAATTAATATAATAATATCATATAATGTATAATAAAAATATACTGAACTATATCTCAAAATATAATCTTAAAATATAATATCAAAATATAATAATACAATATTAAATTAATGCTATAATATTTATAATTTTTAATGTTAATGTATGATATCAAAAATGGTTTCAAAATAATACCAAAATACACCGTTAAAATTTTGTATTAAAATATGATAGCAAAATCCAATAGCAGAGTCCAACACCAAAATAACATCCAAACCCCACTAAAAACTGATGTCCAAATAAAATCCAATTGGATGGAATTCCTCAGTGAAAGGGGACAAATGGGAATGAAGAATCTCAGGAGGATTTAATGGATAGATTTGAACCACACGGGGATCTGCAGGAAGGAAAATTCCTGGAATTCTGTATCCCATGGGAAAATGCATCGTCCTTCACAGATATTTCTGGTTTTTCCTCTCTCCCTCCTCTTGTCATTTCCCATCAGGAAGGGACCGAGGGAATTCCCCATGGATCCCCGGCTCTGGCGGCTGGCGCTGCTCCCAGTCCTGGCTGCAGGTGAGGGCAATTCCATTTGGGATCCATTCCCATAAAACAGCCAATTCCTGCTCCGAAACATTAATTAATGCCTAATGAGCATGCGGAATTTAACTTGGGAAAGGTTCCTTTTCCAGAGGGTGGAGCAGCTCTGCAGCAACTCCAAACATTCCGGAGCTCATGGAGCACTGGGACAGCTCTCCCAGGGATTGTTGGGATTGTTGGAACTGTCGGGATTGTTGGAATTGTTGGGACTGTCAGGACTGTCGGGATTCTCAAGATTGTTGGGATTGTCAGGATTGTTGGGATTGTCAGGACTGTCGGGATTGTCAGGACTGTTGGGATTTTCAGGACTGTCGGGATTGTCGAGATGTTGGGATTGTCAGGGTTGTCGGGATTGTTGGGACTGTCGGGATTGTTGGGACTGTCGGGATTGTCGAGATTGTTGGGATTGTCAGAGTTTTCGGGATTGTTGGGACTGTCGGGATTGTCGAGATTGTTGGGATTGTCAGAGTTGTCGGGATTGTTGGGACTGTCGGGATTGTTGGGATTGTCCTGTGCAAGGCCAGGGATTGGACTCTGATCCTCTTCCAGCTCAGGGAATTCCATGATTTTATCACCCACATCCCAATCCCACTCTGGGAGAACCTCTGGGAATGGGGATGTCCAAGGAACACCTCGCGTATCCTTTGGGATCTGGGCGCTCCCGCATCTCCCGGCACCGTAGGGATGAATTCCAGGCCCTGGGACATTTTAAACCTTTCTGGGAATCGCTGTGGGGGCGGGTGATTCCAACATGGAATTTTCCAGAGGTAAATCCCAGGTCTGAGAATTCTATTTCACATGGAATTTGCAGTTTCCGTCCATTTTTCCAGGGTTTCTCAGTGTTTTAACGGCCAAGAAACCCAAGTTGTTGTTCAAAACGCTGAAAGATAAAACCATGAGCTGCACATCTCAATTTTTTTTGGTTTTCCTCTGGATCCCTCTCCTGTTGAGGATGGAATCGATCCTGATGAAAATCCATGGGAAACACTATGTGGAAAACCAGAACTGTCCCGTTTTACCCTAAAACAGGCGGATTCCTCAGCGCTCCCAAAACTCCCGTGCTCGGGATCATCGGGGACAGGGTGGTCCTGCCCTGCCAGCTGGGATCCGTGCCCATTCCCGAGGATTTCTCCATCCATTGGACATTCCATGTTGGCCAATCCCAGCGGATCCCCGTGGGCAGCTACGACGGGAAAGGCCGGAGGGAGGAGCCGGATGAGCGGTACCGGGGCCGGGCAGAACTTTTCCATGGGGAATTCCGAACCGGGAACGTGTCCCTGCTCCTGAGGGACGTCCGGAGCTCCGACCAGGGGTCCTACAGCTGCCAGGTCTCCTTCCAGGATGAATCCCAGGAAGTGTTGGTGGAGCTGGAAGTGGCAGGTTGGTGCTGATACCACTTCTTAATTTTAATTAAAATTAATTTAATTTTACATTTTAACATTTTTTGCATTTTTGTAATTATTAACTAATAAAATATTTAATCCTTTATGTTTAGTATTTTTTACATTTAATAATTTCTATGTTTGTATCTTTGATTTTTATTTTTATATTTTATATATGGTCTTTATATTTGACTTCTTATATGTTGTAAAATATGACATGTATAACATCTTATGTTGTATATTATAAATATTACATTATATAAACATATAAATACATATGTGCATATATGCATATGCATAATATCTATACATTTTATGTATTACATTATGTATAATATTATATTATATAAATTATATTCAGTTCATTAAATTAATTCTTTTTATATATTATATAGCTGTATAATTGTATATTATTATTTACTTTTTTATATTATATAAATTATATTAAATTAAATATATTAATTATTATATAAAATACATTGACATATATAATGTTAATATATTTTATATATACATTATATTATATACATATTTATATACATTATATATATTTAATATCTAATGAATTTATGTCTATTACATCTTATTGTTATATTATTACATTATAGTAATATCTTTATATAATATATAGTGTACTTATAATGTGTTATTAATACAATTATAAATATATTTACAATATATGCTATAATATACATCTATGAAAATAAATATAAATAGTGCATTCTTTTCTATTTATACTTATTTTCATATTTATCTATTTATACTTCTGTATAATATAGTTTATATTTTTATCTTTTATCATTTTAATAAAATATAAAGTATAATTCTATATATTTATATATTTTATATATATTTATATAAAAGATAAAAGATAATTCTATATATTTTATATATTTGTTTCTCCAACTTTTATATTTCATACATTCCACAAAATGCTGGCAAATTCCACTCCCAAATCCATCCCAGAACCACCCCCACCCCTCCATCCATTTCCAGATTCTCCATTAAATCCCTCATTCCCAAGGACATTCTCAGATCCATCAACCCCTGAGAACCTCCAGATCCGATGGATCAAATCCTGGAAAATCCTCCGAAACTTTCCAGCTCCTGGGCAAAAAAACCAAGCTCCAGAAAACCCAAATTCAGTAGGATTGAAAGGGAAATACCTGGTTTTCCACAGAGGTTCCATCCATGATCCTGTGGTGACAACTCCTCAATGAATGGAATCTTCGACTCCCAAAATCCCAAATTAAATGGGATTGAAATGGGAATTCCTGTTTCTCGACAACTGCCGGAGAAGCTCCATCCTTGAACCCGCAGTGGCAACTCCTCAATGAATGGAATCTTTGACTCCCAAAATCCCAAATTTAATGGGATTGAAATGGGAATTCCTGTTTTTCGACAGAGTTTCCATCCATGATCCTGCCGCAGCAACTCTTCAATGCACGGAATCCTTGACTCCCAAAATCCCAAATTCAATGGGATTGAAATGGGAATTCCTGTTTTTCCACAGAGGTTCCGTCCGTGATCCTGTGGTGGCAATTCCTCAGTCAATGAAATCCTTGACTCCCAAAACCCCAAATTCAGTGGGATTAAAATGAGAATTCCTGTTTTTCCACAGAGGTTCCATCCATGATCCTGCAGCAGCAACTCTTCAATGCATGGAATCCTTGACTCCCAAAACCCCAAATTCAGTGGGATTAAAATGAGAATTCCTGTTTTTCCACAGAGGTTCCATCCATGATCCTGTGGTGGCAATTCCTCAATGAATGAAATCGTAGACTCCCAAAATCCCAAACTGAATGGGATTGAAATAGAATTTCCTGTTTTTCCACAGAGTTTCCATCCATGATCCTGCGGCAGCAACTCCTCAATGAACGGAATCCTTGACTCCCAAAACCCCAAATTCAGTGGGATTGAAATGGGAATTCCTGTTTTTCCACAGAGGTTCCGTCCATGATCCTGTGGCGGCAGTTCCTCAATGAATGAAATCGTAGACTCCCAAAACCCCAAATTCAGTGGGATTGAAATGGGAATTCCTGTTTTTCCACAGAGGTTCCATCCATGATCCTGCAGCAGCAACTCTTCAATGCATGGAATCCTTGACTCCCAAAAATCCCAAATTCAATGGGATTGAAATAGAATTTCCTGTTTTTCCACAGAGTTTCCATCCGTGATCCTGCGGCAGCAACTCCTCAATGCACGGAATCCTTCACTCCCAAAATCCCAAATTCAATGGGATTGAGATGGGAATTCCTGTTTCTCCGCAGCCGTCGGAGAAGCTCCATCCGTGATCCTGCGGGGCCCCGAGAAGCGGGACCTGGGCCTGTCCTGCCGCGCCTCCGGCTGGTTCCCGCGGCCGGAGCTGCTCTGGCTGGACGGACGCGGCAACGTCCGGCGGGAGCCGGCGGCCACCACGGCCACCGTGACCCCCGGGGGCCTCTTCAGCGTCGAGGGCTCCGTGCGGATCCGGCCGGGATCCGACCTGGAGATCTCCTGCCGGATCCTCAACCGCCGGCTCAACGCCTCCCGCGCCTCCCGGATCCGCATCCACGGTGGGAAAGGATTCTGGGAAAATCCCTGCCGGGGCTGCTCCGGCCCTGCTTTGATTTGATATTTTATGGATTAGTTAAGTCCAAAGGATTGGAAGACTTCGATTGTATTAGTTCTTGTTTATTGTGTTTTAAACTTCATTTTAAAAATTAAATTTTTATTTTATTTTATTTTAATTTAATTTTTTAAATTAATTTTATTTTTATTGTATTTAATTTTTAAATTAAATTTTAATTTAATTTTAATTTAATTTAATTTTAAATTTAAATTTTAATTTAATTTTAATTGTAATCTTTATTTTAATTTTATTGGATTTAGTGTAATTTAAAATTTCTTGTATTCTGTTTTAGTTTTGGTAATTATCAGCTCTGGCCAAGGTCTTCTATTGATTATCACTATTTAATAATTAAATAATAATTTAATTATTAAATTAAAGTAAACTAAATTTAGTTTAATTTAATTTAAAATTTATTTTATTAAACTAAATGTAGTTTCATATAATTTAAAATTTATTTTATTTTATTCTATTTAATTTTTGCTAATTAGTAGCTCTTGCCAAGGTCTTCTATTGATTGTCATTTATTGATTTTTAAATTAAATTAAATTTAATTTAGTTTAATAAATTTAATTTAAAATTTATTTTATGTTATTCAATTTTGGTTTGCTAATTAACAGCTCTTATCAAAGTCTTTTATTGATTATTAAAGTAAATTAAATTAAATTTCGTTTAATTTAATTAAAAATTTCTTCTATTTTATTGTATTTTGCTTTTTCTGGCTAGCAGCTCTTATCAAAGCGTTTAATTTCATTTATTATCATTTAATGATTGATTGATTGATTGATTGAATTTCATTTTTGCTAATTGGCATCTCCAGCAGGATCCAAAGGATTGGAATCACTAATTATATTGATTAGCATTTGTTAATTGATTTATTTAGTTTAATTTCTGCTAAAGAGCAGCTTCATTGGAATCCAAATGATTTAGTCACTAATTTTATTGATTAACATTCATTGATTTAGTGCTTTAATTTGATTTTTGCTAATTAGCAACTCTTGTCAAAGTCTTTAATTTTATTTATTGTCATTGATTGATTGATTGATTGATTGAATTTGATTTTTGCTCATTGGCAGCTCCAGTTGGATGCAAAGGATTGGAAATCTTTAATTTCATTGATTGTTATTTATTGATTGGTTGATTTTATTCTATTTTATCTTTGCAAAGGAGCAGCTCTTGTTGAACTCTTAAATTTGATTTAATTTTAATTTAATTTTTTTATTTCTAATTTATTTTCTAGGTTTATTTTTATTATGACATTTTAATTTTTAATGTATTTCTACCTTCATATTTTATTTTTAAATTTTATTTATCAGCAAAATTTATTGATTGATTTAATTAGAAGTAAAATAGAACTTCCCCACCTCATTCCTCCACCTGTTTTGTCTCCTAATTTACCAGTCCTTTATGATTTAATCATTAATAGAATGCTTAATCATTAATCATCATTAATAGAATGGTTAATAATTATTAAAACATATCATAAATGGAATAGCCAATCCTTTAATCTTTACTGGAATATTTAATATTAATCTCATATTTCAGCCTTAATCAAATAATTAATCATAAAATCATTATTAGATAGTTAATAATTAATTGGATTTTATAATTTTAATTAAATGTTTAACAATTAATTTTAAATATTTAACAATTAATTGTATATTCATAATTAATGCAATTAATTAAATATAGTATAAATACAGTTAATCCTTAATCAAATATCTAATCCCCAATGGAATATTTATTACAGAAATCATTAATAGAATATGTAACAACTAATGGAAAATTGAATCCTTTAATAATTAGTATTGAATCCTTAATGGAATACTTAATTATTAAATCATTAATTGTATATTTAATAAGTGATAGAAAATTAAAGCCTTAAGTAATTAATAAAACATTAAATAATTATTTTAATATTTAGTCCTTGAATCATTAACAGACTATTTTATAATTAAATTATTAACTGTATATTTAATAATTAAAGGCAAATAGTAGCCTTAAATCATTAATAAAACAATTAATAATTATTTTAATATTTAGGCCTGAAATAATTGACTATTTAGTAATTAATAGAGTATTTACAATTAAATCATTAATTGTATAATAAAAAATTAATGGAAAATAATAGCCTAAAATAATTAATAAAATAATGAATAATTATTTGTATATTTAGGCCTTAAGTAATAGAGTTTTAAATTAAATTTGGGCCTTAAATTGGTAGAATATTTAGTAATTAACATAATAGTAAATCTATACAGATTAATATAATTAATTTCATTGATTATTAATTAATTTTTGTTTGTATTCGCAGACGCGTTCCTCCCCTCCATCTCGCGGTGGCTGCAGATTTTCCTGGCGGTTTTGTTCCTGAACTTGTTCCTGATTTCTGTCATTTTCTGCCTGCTCCACAGTGAGTGTGGGCCGGAAAATCCCAAATCCGCCGGAATTGGGGAAAATCCCAAATCCCGCCAGGATCTGGGGACATCCCAAATCCCGCCAGGATCTGGGGACATCCCGAATCCACCTGAATCCAAGAAAATCCCAAATCCCGACAGGATCTGGGAAAATCCCAAATCCACCTAAATCCAGAAAATCCCAAATCCACCTGAATCCAAGAAAATCCCAAATCCCGCCAGGATCTGGGGAAATCCCAAATCCACCTGAATCCCAGAAAATCCCAAATCCCGCCAGGATCTGGGGAAATCCCAAATCCACCTGAATCCCAGAAAATCCCAAATCCCGCCAGGATCTGGG